CTCAAATCGGTCCCGAGAGGGATCCGGTGGGAGGGTGAACGATTGGCGGAAACGCGGGTCCTCGAGGTACTGGTCCAACGAGGCCTTGTCTGTTGACAGGTCTGCCATGGCTGCTGTTCCTCTTCTTCAGTTGGTGACGTATCGCTCAAGGGGACGTAGAGAGGCTGGTTTGGATTGAGGGATTGAGACAAATTTAGCACCATGTCGGCCCATCTCGTGATTGGCACTTTATTGAGATGGACCAGACCGCAAACACTCACCGCCCCCTGCCACTCCTCCTTCAGCCTCCCGATAGCAACGTTGCCATGCAAGAGCTATATTCATATTCACTTCACGCGATTGGAGACTCTCACGTGTCAAGCAGTTCGTTCTTGAATTTCTTTTATTTATTTTATTTCATAGCGGCATGTCTATAGTCTAATAGAACGCGCAAACGTCTGCCCAACCGACACTCATCCATCCGTCATCATCATCTTCATCTCGTTACCGTTTAGGGTGTGCATCTGCCCATGAAACGGGGGTATAAGCATGCCTCGCGGACTGTCCAGAGCTTCAGCATCCAGGCCAAGAAACTACAGCACCCAATGTTAGATCCAAGTCAATCACGAGAGAGTAGGGTCGACATACCGTTCTCCACCAAGGCCGTAGCCACCATGAGGCGTAGAGCCGTACTTGCGCTGGTCAGTGTACCAGAAGTAGCCCGTAGGATCAATGCCCTCGCGCTTGTAACCTGCCATGAGCTCCTCGTAGTCCCAGATCCTCATGCTGCCACCAACGATCTCGCCGACACCTGGCATCAAGCAGTCGACAGACTCTGTCACACGCTTGTCGTCCTCAGCCTTTTGCATGTAGAAGGACTTGATCTCGGTAGGGAAGTGGGTGAGGAAGATGGGGCGGTTGATCTCGTCAGTCATCTTGCGCTCAGCAGCCTCGGCACTAGAAATCAGGTCAAGTCAGTCTCCGGGTTGCGCTCATGATATAAACCCCAAACCAAGGATAACCCTCAAATTGAACCTACATGTCATCTCCAAAGGTGTGGTCGTTGCCCTCTTCGTTCTTGATACCCTTCTCGCGCAGCCACTCGATCGCATCAGCGTAGCGCATGCGCATGAATGGGCGAGCAGGCTTGACGAAATCGGGGTTGTACTTCTTAATCGCCTCGGCGGCAACGGGGTCCTCAAGCGTCAGGTCAATAACCCGGCAGATGACGTGCTCGAGATGGCTCAGTAGATCGTCAAAGGTAATAAAGTCGAGCTCGGCTTCGATGTGAGTGTATTCGGAAAGCTGGAGATCGGGCGTTTAGCAGGTTGCTCCTCTCAAGACTAAGGGTGGTCACAATAGTCTAGAAATTATACTCACATGGCGACGGGTAAGGGACTTCTCGGCTCGGAAAGACTTCTCGATACAGTAGACATCACCAAGAACAGGGAGAACAGTCTCCAGGTACAGCTGACTCGACTGGGTCAAGTAGGAAGTCTCGCCGTAGTAGTCGAACTTGAACAGGGTAGCACCTCCCTCGACCTGAGTCTGGACAAGGGCCGGTGGGCTGACCTTCCTGCATTTGAGTTCCTTGTATACAGTATGGAAAGCAGATTCGACAACGTCGCGGACGAACATGATGGCGGCAGGCTTCTCGTGGCGCAGAGTAAGGTGGCGCAGGTTGAGGAGTGTCTGGGTATCGCCATCGACAGGAACCTGGTTGGTAAAGGCGTCGTCTCCTCCGGGAGCGGCAGCGATGATTCGGAAGTAGTCGGCGTGGAGCTCGCGGTCGAGAGGTGCGTGAGCATGGCTGGGGACCTCCCAGAGCTCACCAATGATCTCGATTGCCGTCTCTCGGTTGAGGGTCAAGGCGTCGTAGGTCTTGGAGAGCTGTCCGGACAGCAGACACTGCATGAGGCTTAAGCCGCGGCGGATAGTGACGAAGATAAGGCCACCCTGCTTGGCCACGCGGTTGACGCGGCCGTGGACGCTGACACGGACAACGCCCTCGCTGGGCTCGTCTTTGCTCTTTCGAAGGGTTCCGATTTTTGCGGGATCGGTCTCGTCGAGGAGGATCGATACGGGCTTGGGAAGGGCAGGGTCGTCGGTGATCTTGATGTTCTTGGCCTCCTCGAGAACAGCAGCACGTGCAGCCTCCTCCTGGGCCTCCTTCTCGGCTCGCTTGGCGGCAGCCTCGAGCTTCTTCTTCTGCTGGGCGACGTAGTTGACGGCCTTCTTCAGGGCAGCCTTGGCAGCGGGCTTGAACTCTTCCTCGCCGGCCTTCTTGACCTGGTACTCGAGCTCGGCGCCATGGCGGTAGAAGGCCTCTGGCAGACTCTTGAAGGGGGCGGCTTCGGTGCCGGCAGTGTCTTGGGCATCAATGCCCTTCTCCTCGTCAACGTAAATCACAGCCATGGTGGGAGTTGGTCGAACGCGGTTGGGTGGTGGGGTTGTTGACATTCAGAATTTCTGGCAGTCAAGGCCGTGGAGGGGTTTTTCAACCCCGCGATAAAGAGCAGGCGCGATCGGGCCCCGTTGCAGTGACTGATTGGCATTGACTCATACCTGCCACCCAAAGCGCACACACAGGCCGCGCCCCCTCTGCAATCTTCGCAGGCTGATTGGGCGCTGTCTTCTTATCTTTCCAAGAATAAATTCATCTTAATTTCGTTCGAGACAAGAACCCAGCACTAGCAACCTCCCTGATGCGAGTCGCATGTTTTTCCAATCGCTGTGCGCAGACCCTTATCTCCAACCGCTATCAATAAACACAGACTACCCTGTAGATCAATCACAGACAAGAATCACTGAACTGTCCATGCAAGCAAGACTCCCGCGTCAACCGTGTGGCCAGCAAGGTGGGCTCATTTTTGTCGCTATCCGCCGTAGCCTGAGCCTCATGAAGTGTCTGCTCCCGTCATCGTCGATAAAGACCTGCTGGTCCGTGGCATTGCTCCCATTGTAATGCTTTTTACGGAAGAGAGTTCGTATATATAGACAACAATGGAAGATGCCAGACCCGACATCTCAACACACTGAATACTAAAGTTTAGAATAAAAAAATCATTTGCTAGCCCAAGGCTGCAGTCATGCGGAAGGAAAAGTCTGTAAACCTTCATACCGATGATTCACTTGCCGTCAGGACGAGCCGCTCGTCAAATGACTAGAAAGCATACCCTCTTTCACCTGGCTTCCTTCGTACACTCGTCTTACACCAATCAGCCTGATGACAAGAAGAGAGGAAGGGAGGCGGAGTAGATCAGAGAGGATAGCTTTGATGGAAATGCTTTTTAAGCTTTGAAAACACAATGACAGAGAACACAGTGAGGGGTAATGCTTTTTACACTTGGCTATACCGTTCTTCTAATCCGACCAGCACCATCCTCACTCATGTCATGACAACAGGCTTAATGGTTCCGTCCTCGTTAAAGTGGAAGCGATCAATTGCAATGACACGGTGATCTGCCACATCGTCCCCGATGATGCGACGGTGGTACACAATATAGTACTTCCCATCATGGTCCTTGAACACCGAGTGGTGGCCAGGCCCATCCGCCACATCAGTCTTGGAGAGGATCAAACCAATTCGGTTAAACGGCCCCGTGATCGAGTCAGACATGGCGTACGCGACCCTATAGTCTGGCGTCCCGTAGCCTCCCTCGGACCACATGAAGTAGTATTTCCCATTATGCTTCAGCATGAACGATCCCTCCGTGAAGCCCTCGTTCGGCGTGATGTCCTTGGGCCCGGAACCGTCTGCCCAGTTCTCAATCGACTTCATGTCCTCGCTCAGCGGCGAGATGCTCACACGGGTGCCACCCCAGATGAGGTAGTACTTCCCGTCATCGTCGACAAAGACCTGCTGGTCCATGGCATTGCCCCCGTTGTAATGCCTGTCGACAATTGGGTGATCAATGAGGTCGTTGAAGGGACCAGCCGGCGTATCTGCCACGGCGACCCCAATGCCCGCGGTGCCCTCGTTGGCGATGGGATTGTTGGCAGTGTAGAAGAAGTAGTACTTGCCGTTCCGTTCGATCGTGCAGGGGGCCCAGAACCATTTCTCGGCCCAGTTGGAATTGTCTGCTGAGAACACCTTGGGATGGGGTGTCCAGTGCACCAAGTCCGGGCTCGAGAAGGCATCAAAGTAGGTCTGGTCGTCGAACGAGATGGACAACGTCGCGTAGACCCAGTACTTGTCTCCGAACCTCAGGCCGTCTGGGTCGGCATACCACCCGTCCGCGATGGGGTTTTCCCACCGATGGGTGCCATGATTCACATCGGTGGGAGCCCCCAAAATCTGGGAAAACAAGAAGGAGACGGCACTGAGGGCCGAGGCAAGGGAAGCAGCGACTCTTCCCATTTTTCTTTTCTTTGCGAAATGCAATGCAGTTGGCTGGTTCTTTAGCTTCTCGAGAAACGGGACATCATCGCCTGGAATTGATTGAGGAGAGATCTTGCAGCTGCAGCGCGGTGAATGCCCTAGGATGCTCGCTCTATAAGAAGGCAATGGAAGACGGCATACGAAGATGACGTGGTTTCCTTCCTGTGGCCCGCATAGAGGGTTGAATCAATTCCTACTCGGGGAGACTCAATATGCGGGCGATGGTTACATGACGAGTGGTTCATGTGATGGTCGGTCCAGAGCCAATAAGCAAGGGCACTGGATGTCTTGGCCGTGAGGATTGTTGCGGGGTGAGGCTTCACGTCCATCCGCCCTGCCGATCTCATGCTCGGATTGGCACTGGGGGAGACACATGAGCAGCTGATTAGGCCGTAAAATGGTCCGGCAGACCGCATTTCGTGCAGTGTCGGGGGTTACATTACATGGACAAATGCCCCAGTTCCGTCTCTCGTGACGTCTTTTGGACCAAAGCACGTCCAATGGCCTGTCGTGAGGCTAATATGTGAATGGGATTTTCCCGCTTGACAAACACCTTGCACTCGCATCAGTTGGGCCTGCCAAAATAGTCTTTCCCCCCTTCTCCCTCACCAAACCCGTCTTGATATTCCCCCAACTTCACCTAGGCGAATTCTCGTGTGCAGTCTACCAGCATACCTGGGCAAGGCTTCATCCTCGAAACGCACGCGCTGTTGTCTTTCCCTTTCCCTTGGGCCTCGCTGGCTTGCGGGGAGGTCCATATCCCTTGACAGGCCTCTTTCGGACCACCTGCCTCCTTGAAAGCTTCGCCCGTGGTTTGCCACTTTGCTTCTTCTCCTTCTTCTTATTCTTCTTCTTCTGGCCAGTCTTGGGCTTTACAACTTGCGAGACGGCCCTGCGACCAGCGTTGGCGGCTAGGCCAACGAGACTAAAGCAGGGGTCGCGGGCTTCAAGGTCCGCTGGGAGGGCGGCAGGGTCAATGTCTCGCCTGGCACGGTATCCCACACCGGAGCGAGAATGGCCAGTCTTTGTGGCGAGAGCCTGGCCCAAGAAGTTGAGAAAGAGAAGGCCAGTGGCTACTAAGAGCTGTTTGAAGTTCACCATTGTGAATTGAATCGTGGTGTCGGGGCTTGCTGATGATCGGGGAACAAATTACTCCAGTAAAAGTAATGTACGAGGCAGTGGAAGCTTTGATATTGTGCTGATTGTGTCGAGACTTCTCAAATGCCCAGACGCACCGTGTCGGCTGGTTGATATACCTGACGAGCGTGGCTGTTCCACTTCGACCCTGCGGAGATCTTCTTAGAAACACCGTGGCGTAGCTAATCATACGGCTTGTGCTTCAAGCCGGGTTGGAATAAGGCTGGCCGTGATCCAAAGGCCTGTGTTCCAGCACATCTTGCCGGGTCAAAGTGGAACAGCCACGATTCTTACCGAGAGATGAGAACGCCTTGGCTATTTTTAATTGAAGCGAGCGGGGTTTTCCCTGCAGGAAGATCTTTCTACTTTTAGGAGGATCATTAGGGACGGAAGAGGAAGAGATGAGTGGCTGACCGAAAATGCACGGCAAGCCTTGCGTCTCTCTCATCAGCATAAAGCGAATTTTCGGGGGTTCTTCCCTGGTGGTGAACACAGAGTGCCAAATTAGAGCCCGTTGATCCTAGCCAGTTGCCCAGAAATATCCCCTTTCTGAATGATTTTATGTGAGATGTGTCGACTAGCACGATAAGAGTGCAGACAGTCTCATCCACCCCAATGACGAAGGAAAGCATGCATGAAATGCTGATTGAATTATTCCCCGAGATCTAAGAACCCACCAGTTGGCGGCTTGGCTGCGAAAAGAGGAATGGCCGAGGTCCCAATGACCGTTTCCTCTGCCTTCACGGATTAATAGTTCGCGAGGAAGCAGCGACGTCAAACAAGCCAACAATGCATTTGGAATGACTACTTCCGTGCTTCTCTTTTCATCCGCTCGATCAAATATTGGCCCTGTGCGAAGACAAGACGAGGCGCAGAGGTTGTGCTCGGATCCTCTGATGTTATGTTATCTCCACTAGGGTGTCTTACATGAAAGAAAAGTATGTGTGTCATCTCCTCAGCCTCAGAGACAAGCGAAAATGCAATTCAGACAAGTATGAGTAATTGGAGGTCTACCATGCTGAACAGCGCTGACGGTCAGCAACGGCCGGTATCTTTTGCACATATGCTGATGAAGGAGCATGATGACTGCGTCCATAGGGTTTCTTATGTAGATGAGACATTGCACATGGAAAAAGTTCAGCAGTCGGGTCGGTCATTGAGCCCCAATTTATTGTCTGTACTATGAGATACTTGATACGCCTGAATGTGTCTTATCTCTCATTTGCAAAGGCAAGCCCAATTCATTCAATTCGCCATTTCGAAGCCGGACCAGGCTTAGGCGGGCACGCGTACGATGGCACAATTGTTCTACCGTGTGGCTGCTCTCGGGTAGAATCCCGATGGTGGCACGACTGGCAAGGCGCAATAAAGAATGAAACACTCATAAGAAAAAGGATGATTAAAGGGTGGCTAAGAAAGTGCCAGAGGGAGAGGGGCAGAGGGGCCAGGGTAGTATGACACCAGCCGGCGAGCATAGAATATTAAGCATGGTGTATTGCACCTTAAAATCAAGATGTGGCGATCTCCAGTGTGTTCTTGTCCCATTCAGGCGACAGAAATGGCCTCCACCCTGCTTTCTGACTGCGTGCTTATGGTCTGGCATCGTATCAAGGTAAGGTAAGGTGTATCTGGGCAGAGGCAATCATCGACGATGGGTGGTTGAGCACGGGTGGTACTTTTGGCTCGCCATTACACCGAGACTAACCGGGAGAGTTTGCCTCTTGAGCTCGTGCTACTCATCGCAAAATAGCAGGACTGGAACTGAATGGGAGAGGAGAAGTTAGTATTAAAGAAGAGAGGGGGCAATAGTTGAAATGCAGATGCATGCAATGTCCGCCCATGGCCGATATTGCTCCCCTTCCGTTCCTACTCCGGCGGTTGTAATGTCGAAATGCGTCCGTTCCTACCTACCCGATCAGGGGCTACCAAGACCTTGGCCTGGCTGACAGGCGGGTGAGTGAGCAGACAGGCAGATATTCGGACAGTCAAGCGAGAATTGGATCCATGGACTTTTGCTTTTCCACCGATGGGCGCAGGGTTCTTTTGGAAAGAGAAGAAGATGCAGGTACCGTTGTACTGCGCAACAGAGGTGCTCTCCGTTTATTTAGCGGTGTCTCTCAGTGGCTCGTGCCGTGGCTCTATCCCAACAAGGGAGCTGGAGTCGATGGGGCTAGGCCCGCTGTGGAAGGCCGCTGGGGCGACTGGCTTATCCCCAATAAGCTCTGGACGCTAGTGCCCCAACCGCTGTGCTAGCATGGACTGAACTGCCGTGGCGGCGCGACTCTGGGCGCTGGACTCTGGAGGTGGGACGTCCATGGAAGGCGCGCAGGGAGCAGTCTTTCCTACATCCCCGCAGCTGCATCGTAACTTGGTAATTTGGCGGCCTGCACCTGCCTTGCATCTAGCCTACGCATGCTAATGTACTGCCTCTCTACCTACTACTTACCTGTGGCAGCAGCAGCAGCGGCAGTACCTCACATGTATCCAATGCCCCTCCTCCACACCGGCCCTCTCCTCTTGAGATAAGGTCCTTGTCTGCTGCCTTAACCCTGGCTGGTAGGTCAGTCTTCGGGTTGGCTTGGCTGTCTATCCATGATTCTGGTCTGCATCCTGGTCCGACAATCCCAACAGCTGCCTATCATAATATCTCATCCACCATGGACGGCTGGCCCGGACGTCATTATTTAAATGAGGGGGAGGGACCAGTCCTCACACTCTGCCCGACTTGTCTTGTGCCTCCTCGCGCGGACTCTCATTGTCCATTCATTCATTCAAACATTGGCTTCTCCCCGGGGCTGAGCAGTGGTCTCTCCTTCAACGGCCTTCTCAAGGAGTGTAATATATATCCTCGTTGATTATACCCACAGACACGACTCTCGGTTGAGACATACCTGAGCAGATTTAAAGAGACACCAGCCCCCTGCGCCCATCCACCACGTTGGTGCTTCCTGCGTCTTTCACCATGGCTCTCCATCGCTCATTTGCTGCCGCAGCTCTGCTGCTGTCCACCGTAGCCAATGCCATTGACCCTCCTCGGAATCCTTGGCAGCCAGTCGGTGGTGGCGAGCGTCTTCTCCAGTTCAACCAGACCATTCCCAGCCGAGCCATCTCCGCGAAGAGTACTTCTGTCTCCTGGTCTGCCGCTGGCTCTGACGGACAGTTCATCAGCTCCAATAGCAATGGTGACCTCGTGCTCGAGGATATTGTCTCCGGTAACACGGAGACTTTTGTTACTGCCGATAAGCTTCCTTCCGACACCTATGAGACCTGGATCAGTGACGACACCACCCGTGTCCTCGTGTCCTCCAACTACACCAAGCAGTATCGCTACTCGTACTTTGCCGACTACTTCATTCTCGATGTTAAGAGCGGCGAATTAACCGCCCTCGTCGACGACCAGGTTGGTGATATCCAGTATGCCGTTATTGCTCCTTCTGGCGACAAAATCGCCTTTGTGCGCGGAAACAACCTCTTCCTCCGTGATCACGGCACAGGGGAGATCAAGCAAATCACCACCGACGGCGGCCCTGACCAGTTCCATGCGATTCCTGACTGGGTCTATGAAGAGGAGATCTTCGGTACTACCAACACCCTGTGGTTCTCTCCCGATGCCAAGTTCATCGCATTCCTCAGCTTCAACGAGACTGGTGTTGAGACCTACACTATTCCATACTATATGGATAACCAGAAGATCGCCCCTGTGTACCCCAAGGAGCTGGATTTGAGATACCCAAAGGTTGGAACCAAGAACCCCACAGTTGAGCTTAACATTCTCGACGTTGAGTCGGGCGAATACAAGAATGTTCCCATTACAGCCTTTGAGGCCGAGAATCTTGTTGTTGGAGAGGTCGCCTGGGTCACTGACTCCCACACCGCCCTCATCTACCGCGCTTTCAACCGTGTCCAGGACCAAGATAAGCATATTCTAGTTGACCCCACCACTCTTGTTTCTCAGGATATCCGCAAGCGTGATGGCTCCGATGGCTGGCTGGAGAACACGCTCAGCATTTCCTACGTCGGCGCCATCCAGACAAACTCAAGCTCCAACGCAAGCTACTACGTTGATGTGTCCGACCAGTCAGGCTGGAATCACATCTACCTCTACCCCGTCCGCGGCGGCGACGCCATCCAGCTTACAGACGGCGAATGGGAGGTAGCCTCCATCCTCAAGGTCGACACTACACGCGGTCTGGTTTACTACACGGCAACCACACATCACCCGACCGAGCGCCATGTCTACAAGGTCAGCTTGAAGGACGGCACTATTACTCCTCTCGTCGATGACAAGGTCTCTGCCTACTGGTCCGCTTCTTTCTCAACCGGAGGAGGATACTACATTCTCAGCTACCAAGGGCCCGATGTCCCTTACCAGGAACTTTACGCCACCAACAGCACCTCCAAGCCCCTGCGCACCATTGAAGACAACGCCGCTCTATACAAGACGATTTCCGAGTACAACCTCCCGAACATCACCTACTTTGACCTTGAGCACCCCGATGGTTACAAGTTCAGCGTCAAGCAGCAGCTCCCTCCAAGCTTCGATCCCTCCAAGAAGTACCCCGTCCTCTTCACACCGTACGGCGGACCCAACTCCCAGCAGGTGGCCAAGAGCTTCCAGGCCTACAACTGGAACCAGTACATCTCCTCGGACCCTGAGCTGCAGTACGTGACCTTCACTGTTGACAACCGTGGTACCGGCTACCGTGGCCGCGCCTACCGCTCCTTGGTTACCGGGCAACTCGGCAAGCTTGAGCCCGTGGACCAAATCTGGGCCGCCGAGCACCTTGCCGAGCGCCTCAGCTGGATCAACGTCGACAAGATTGGTATCTGGGGCTGGTCCTACGGTGGCTATCTGGCAGCCAAGACGCTCGAGATCAACACGGGCATCTTCTCCACCAGCCTCATCACCGCCCCCGTCTCCGACTGGCGCTTCTACGACTCTCTCTACACAGAGCGATACATGA